CTTCCAAAAACCTCGTTCCAGAATTGTTACCAGCAATAGCAGCGCCGAATGCATAAGTGTGTGAATGCTGAAGGGGACTACTTTGAAGGTGATAATGTCACGGAGAACTGATTCTGCAGGTAGAATGATTTATTGGACTAGTCTCGTTACTTTTGTGTCACACCTCGTATAGACAGATTTTAGTAGAGCCAAAAGAACGTAGTTTACAACGAATTTTATGGCGATCAAGTCGTGATGCTCCAGTTGAAGTATACGAACTGAATACAGTTACATATGGTACAGCTTCCGCGCCATTTTTAGCCAAGCGTGTATTAAAGCAGATTGGATTAGATTGTGCTACAGAAAATCCAACCGTTAGCACGATTATTATTAACGACTGTTAGGGTACGGCCTAATTTATGGCAGGGACTAGGGGTTTCAAGGAGTGACGAAAAACAGTTTCCTGGGACTCTTAGTTTCGCCTTGGGTCTAACTTTCGCCCACTCTGGTTTTCGTCTTCCTCTTCCACAGGGAAGCGCGCTAAGGGCGCACTGGAAGGGAAGGTGACCAGGAAGCGAAGATTTTCCAATTAGTTCAGTTCAGCAAAAATCAGTGACCAGATCAGTCGGTCAAAATTAGTTAGACAACCGAATCAGTCAATCAAAGTACTTAGTCGTTTTCACTCAGTCAACTGGATCAGTCAGTTGTAGTTATTTAGTTCAGGGATCACATACAAATTGTAAGTAATACTTTCATACACACATCTACACACGTACACTCGACACCACACACTTCTACTGAATAAATTGTTATCTGAGGATCAGCTTGGGTATCATTTGTTCCCAATTTAGCCATTGGGTGGTCCTTCGAGTTTTAGGAGGCACTACTGTGCACATAATTTTTAAGGGGTGATCAGCCCACCCCTTTCCAACGACTTCTATGTTGATGATTTGTTGACGGGTGTGGAAACAGAATTAGAATTAGAACAAGTTAAAGAGGCGTTGTCCGATATTTTAGGAAGGGCAGGATTACAGTTAAGAAAATGGGCTATGAACAGTTCAGCGTTTTCGAAGCATTTAGATATTCAGGACAAAATGTCAAATATAGATAAGCACCCGAAAATCCTCGGGTTGCAATGGTCGCCAGCTACAGATGAGCTCTGTTCTTCAACTACACCTAGCTACAGACAAGCTTTGTTTTTCAACTACACCATCAGCACATAAACGTGTGACAAAACGCACCATTTTGTCGCAAATAGCTCAAATTTTCGACCCGTTAGGTTTAATTAGTCCAGTGATAACCAATGCCAAATTAATAATGCAACAGTTGTGGCAACTGCAGACAAACTGGGATGAATCAGTGCCTCAGGATGTGTACAAGCAATGGATAGATTTTATTACAGAGTTAGAGTTCTTAGATAAAGTAAAGATTCCTCGTCGAGTGATTGTTGCTACGGGAAGGGTAGAAGTAATTGGATTCTCTGACGCATCAGAAAAGGCGTTTGGGGCTTGCGTCTACTTACGGTCATGCGGTAGATCAGGTCAATGGGATTCTAGGTTATTATTGTCAAAATCGAGAGTTGCCCCTTTAAAGACAATCACATTGCTCAGATTAGAATTTTGTGGGGCATTGCTACTTGCGAAGTTAATTAAAAAAGTAAAATTAGCACTCAGACTTTTTATAGACAGGGAATGGTATTTTTCGGACTCGACAATTACCCTTTCGTGGATTCGCGGTCAGTCAGACAAGTGGAAAATTTTTGTTACAAATCGGGTCACAAAAATTCAATTATTAACCGACAAACAGAATTGGTTTCATGTTTGGTCATTTGAAAACCCAGCAGATTTAATCACTCGTGGAAGTACCCCTAAATTGCTGGCCATTAATGAGTTATGGTGGTCAGGTCCGGGATGGTTAAAGAGTGAATCGGACCTCTGGCCACAATCATTAGAAGAAATAGTTAACATTCCAGATCAAAAGAAATCCATAGTCTCAGTAAACATCGTAACATTTGACAACAATGATTTAATTGAACGGTACTCTGATATCGACCGGTTACTTAGAGTTACAGCTTATTGTCTCCGGTTTATTAATAATGCGCGGAAACCCAAGACAAATAAATCGACAGCGTTAGGAAACAGTCAGTTATCAGTCATAGAATTACAAGAAGCGCAACAAATATTAATACGAGTAGTTCAAAAAGCAGCATTTCCCAATGAATTTATCGCGTTAAATAAAAATCAGTCAGTGCAGAAACAAAGCCCATTACAGGCTTTGGCCCCGTTTTTAGACGAAACAGACATTATTAGAATTGGCGGGCGTTTAAGTAATGCGCCTATTAAATACAGTAAGAGACATCCCATTTTATTACCAGCAAAACATAAGTTTACTGATTTTGATTATTAGGCGTGAACATAACAGATTACTTCACGCGGGTTGCCAGCAAATCATCGCGTCACTGCGCAAACACTATTGGCCAATCAATTGTACGCGAAATGTGAAAAGAATTCTTAGAGGCTGTGTTAGGTGTTTCAGAGCCAACCCACGGGGAGTACAGTACCCTATGGGTCAGTTACTGACAGCCAGGGTAACACCTGCACGACCATTCGCTACTTGTGGGGTAGATTACGCAGGCCAATTTTTAACAAAGAGCGTAGCCACAGTAAAACATCAATCAAATCATATATTTGTATCTTTGTGTGTTTCGCCATCAAGGCGATACACATCGAGTTAGCAATAGATATAAGTACAGATGCATTCATCAACTATCTTCGACGGTTCGTAGCTCGCCGAGGCTGTTGTGAATACATATTTTCGGACAACGAAATCAATTTCATAGGTGGAAAAAATAGATTAGCAGATCTAGAAAAATTAATTACTAGTGAGCAGCACAATTCGGAAATTACAAAATTTTTAAGCGGAAAGATGATACAGTGGCACCTAATACCTCCTCAAGCGCCGCACTTCGGAGGTCTTTGGGAAAGCGCTGTTAGGTCTACCAAGTCCCATCTCAATAAAGTCATAGGTAAACAGAAGTTAACCTATGAAGAATTATACACGCTATTAGCTCAAATAGAATCCTGTTTAAATTCACGTCCCTTAAGTCCCATATCTTCCGATCCATATGACCTTAATCCTCTAACTCTCGGACATTTTTTAACTGGCATTGCACTGTGTGCGCTGCCAGAGGAAAATTTAATAGAAGTTAGATCGAATCGGCTAAACCGGTATCAGATGTTGCAGCAGATGTTTTAACACTTTTGGCAGTGCTGGTACAAGGAGTACCTTCATAATTTTCAACAAAGGTACAAATGGAAACACGCAACAGATCATCACCTGATAGAAAGCAGCCTGGTTGTCATCAAAGAGGACAATCTACCCCCGTTACGAAGGTGTCTCGGCAGGGTAACGGAGGTACACCAGGGAAAGGATGGAGAAATACGGGTCGTCACCATAAGGACCGCGACCGGTACTTACAAACGGCCAGTGACGAAGATTTGTATATTAAGCATCTACGAGGAGGAAGATACAAATACAACTAAATAGAGAATTTGATGTAACAAATTGACATACACATATTAGCATTAGTAAACATTATAAACATAGATTAGTAAACAAAAATTGTAAACATAGATAAAATGTACACATAGATTTTAGGTAACAGTCATGTATCACTTTGTTATTGAATATGTAGATAGTATAGATTAGAGTATCGAACGCGCATCGAGCGTCCAAGGGGGGCGGCATGTTAGAGTTTCGCATAGATGAGGTTTACGACATGACGAGGGAAAGCGGTCACTTTTGAACCCTATAATTTAGTATCCGTACCATCTGCGTGCCAGCACTACGATGGTACGTGACAATTTGTAGTTTTTAGCAGATTTATTTATTGCTGCACTAGCCTTTAGAGTTTTTAGCTTCAGTGACACAGGCCATGTCATAAACTTCGCAACTTAAAAGGTCAGAGGGCGATCTGGCCCTTAAAGTAACGGTTCTCGCAGACCGGGACCGACGTCACGGAATTTGGGTTTTTCCCCGGAACGCCGTCCTCCCCCGTAGGAACTTCTGTTCCCCTTCCAGAAAAGTACCACGCTAAGGGCGCAATGAAAGGGAGAACAGAGGTGTTAACGAAAGCAGAAATGACCAAAAAGGTTAGATACCAATAGAACAGATAGCACAGTACAGATCAGGAACAGTGTAGCATAGAACAGAGTTTAGTACTTAGAACATTTAGTATTTAGAACATACACATTAAATCACACACAAACACACATCCTTTATACACATACACACACACTCACATATATATTAAAAACCATTGTTTAATACAAACGCAGTGAGTGTTCTTTCGCGGCCCCAATCTGCTAAACATTGGGTGGTCCTTCGACCCCATACCAGACTTTAGACGGTACTTCGTGCGATATAAAGGCTTGACCAAACCCTATCAGTCTGTCTTCAAAAAATTCTTGAGTTTCACTTCATAATTTGCCGAATCTAACTCTAGATGAACTAGTGTCCCTTCGCACACATCAATCATATTATCGTCCTCCTCCAACAATGTACACCAATGTACACCTCCTCCAACAATGTATACTCCAACAGCCATTGCTGCCAGTTATCCTTATCACGCAGCTTCTCTATTTTAAAACCTGCAGCTTCCATGTTTCCACACACACACTTTAAACTCTGAGAACTGTCACTTATTTTAACAACTTTTCCACTTATTTATTCTGGGCCCATAAACTGTTGAGGTTATGACGGAGATAGGATTATTTAAAATGAAACAAACAGTTTAAAATACTGAACTTTAATATTAGAAATGTGTGAAACAGACTTTGACCAGGCATGTGCTGCCTATACCGACTCGCTTGTCGAACTGACTGAAAACAGTCAAGCTGTCCAAAAAGGTCAGCAGTAAAATACAACTGCATAGATGACCCTGGGTTTTTCCCGGCATAATTTACAACCCCAGAACCTTACCATATTTGGGCATGAATTTTCGCTTACTTCAACAATTTCAACACATCGAATATATTTTATGTACAATATTTTATTATAACATTTGACCATTACATCTTGAAGCACCCTGTATATAAGAATATTTGTTTATTATTAATTGAAAACTCTATTTGAAACTACTCTGTACCATGCCCGCATAATGAAATAATATAACTGTACTTAAAAATAATTTGTATCATTGCTCGAAGACGTGTTTCACATTCTCATCAATCATTTTTTCTACTATAGTAATCGCCTATTTATTACAGAATTCAGTACAGAAAATTTACCTACAATTTCTATACTTCGCAAAATTTTTGTATTGCTCAATGAAATATTTTAAGATAACAAGAAAAATATTTTTAAATATTTAGACAGAAAATACGTAAATGCATTTCGGTAGCTGAAGGAACACCTATTTTGACTTACAATTAGTTGATATCTGATGAGGATATTTTTTCCTTGCCAAAGTCTTTTACTGGAAATAGATAGGCGCTTTTTGTTTGGTAGACTGACTCGACACTTCCATTCAAAGTAAATAAGAACAGGATTAAAAAGCAAGGTTATTGTTCAACCGACCCGTCTACGAAGGAGACGCTCTATCACATCAGACAGCTTCGTAGATTAAATGGCCATTATGAAGAAGTAGCACTCTCCTGGGAGAATGCCTCATCGCACACGGTCCTATTTTGGTAATGGAATGTGATTTCAGGGGTAGGTTTGCGAAGAAGTAATGCTTTGAACCTCATATCATTCACAGAATAAATTTCTTTCATGATTGGAGCAGCATCCTAAGAAGAATTCTCTGTAGCAGTTGGGCAAAGAGCGGTATTTCGACGAGAGAGTATACAAAAAAAAGAGAATAAATCTCTAGAGACAAAAATAAGGGAGGAAAGCAGTCAGAACATCTCTAAAAATTGATTTCTAAAGATGTACAGTGAACAACAAATCTGTCTTCTTTACTGAAAATACGGTAACTAAAGCGAAGAGGTCTTTTACTCATTTTTTTAAGGGATTTTAAGATATTTTAATATTTGAAAATGGGTTAAAAATTTTAGAGCATAGAAATTTGGTGACTTTGGAATTCGGAGATGCAGGAATTTGGGAATATAGATATTTGAGACTCTAAAATTTGGAGATCTAAAGATTTCGTCCAGAATTTAGAGAATCAAATGATTTCGGCCACAGGAATGTATAGATCTAGGGATACGAAAACCAAGGTTTTAGGGATTTAGGAATTTCAGAACAAAGGTATTCGAGAACTTTGCTATGTAGAAATTTAAAGCGGTGGGAACGTAAGAATTTAGGGGCTTAAGAACAGACATAAATATTTGGTAGAGATTTAAGGATTTCGAAACAGAAATTTTGGGAGTTTAGACGTTGAGAAATATAGAAAATATGGAATTGTAAAAGTTTACTGATCTAGAAATTTGAAGGTTTAGAGAATTGGGAATTTGAGAACTTGTGTATTTTGTGAGTATGTTTGCACCGTGACAGTGTAATTGCTAACAAAAAACTGCTACGTCAAAGTTAAATCAAGTAACGAATAAATCACTCAAGAATCAGGACGGATTATACATTATGTACAAATAGGAGATAAAACAATTATTTGTTATTAACTTAAATCGAGTGGATCGAATTTGTTTGACACTTGTTGTTGATTATAAGGTTTGGTGGCGAATAGGTATAACAAATAGACACAACAAATAAACATAATAAAGTATAATAACCACAAAATATGTCTCCTTTATTATGCGTAGATACACACAGCACGTGCCCTTCTCGCCATGTCTATGTCGACTGTCGAGTGTCGATCGTCGACTCGCGCGATCACGCGTCTAAAACACGCATCCAGCGCCGCGTACAAATAAAAATTAAAACTAAAAATCGTGTTTCTTACACTTGTATCCGTTATTCGAAAGAAATGTTGAAAATTGTTCTTGTATCTCGTTACAAAATTATAAAAAAAACAATTTGCACATTTTGAAGAGAAAATAACTTTTCTATTTATTAAAAAATATTTTAAATCTAATAACTAACAAGGAAACATATCGGACTGGGACACTTATGTGTATATACGAGGTGTAACACAAAAGTAACGAGACTAGGCCTGTAGCTTGAAAAAACAATGGAATTGGCAGCAATTGTTTTTGTGGCATCATCCCACATACCTCCTCTATCCATGTTGCCAATTTCGATTGAATCGGTCATACCATTTGGAAGTATTGCGTTATTTAGTGAACACGTGGAACTGTATTCTGCCGGAAAAATGTCTAACGTAAAAACCGAACAGTGAATAAACATCAAGTTTCTTGTAAAATTTGTTGAAATCTTTTGTAATATGTGATGAGACATGGATTTTTACCTATGAGCCAGAAAGTAAGCGCCAGTCAATGGAGTGGAAGTCTCCAGGATCCCCAAAACCCAAAAAAGCACGCATGTCAAAATCAAAATTCGACATTAATGGAATTGTAATGATTGAGTGGTTTCCCAGTGGTCAGACTGTTAACTAACACTATTACATTGAACTACTAAAAAGACTTCGTGAAAAAATTAGGAAAAAAAGGCCACAGTTGTGAAGCGATGGATGGCTGTTGCACCGGGACCATGCACCCGCTCACACGGCACTGTCTGCCAAGCAGTTTCTGGCCAGTAAAAATGTTACTGTGATGGGGCATCCTCCTTATTCACCTGATTTGGCTCCATGCGACTTCTTTTTATTTCGTAAAGTTAAATTTTGCTTAATGGGAACCCATTTCACCCCAGTTAAAGAGGTTCAGGCAGAAACGGAGAATCTCCTGAAGGAACTTCCAAAATCCTCGTTCCAGAACTGTTACCAGCAATGGCAGCACCGAATGCAAAAGTGTGTGAATGCTGAAGGGGATTACTTTGAAGGTGATAATGTCACGGAGAACTGATTCTGCAGGTACAATGATTTATTGGACTAGTCTCGTTACTTTTGTGTCACACTTCGTATAACACTTATGTGTCAATACTGTTTCTATACTTTTACAGGCGTAAAGTCTTCAATTTAAATAAAATATTTAGCACTTTTGGAAACATTGGGATGTTTTAAGAAACTAAGAAAATACAATTAAATTAAATTATTTTTTAACAATATTGGCCATAAAAGCCTATGTTCCTAACGGCGTTGATTATAACAGTGTCACGCTCATACCTGCAACGCTTACAATAATTATTCAGAAATCAATTAACGGCATATGAAGAGGTATAAAATGTCTAAAATATTCTAAAAGATTGTAAAAATAATAATATTTTTAATAAAAATGCTGATTGCCCCTTTTCACAGGAGGTGATTTTAAATTATATGTCTAATAAACATTGTAACAAACAAAAAATTCCAAAAACACATATCCTCTATTTTTGTCCATAGTTTACGTACACGAAGTACCAAAAAAATAGATCAACATTTAGTGCAAAAATTTAAACAAAAATGATAAATTTTCAAAATATTATTTAAACAAATAAAGTTTATTGAAATTTTTTTGCGCAAAAAAATTCCCTATTTAAAGACCAACAATTTACAA